GTCCAAAGACATTCGTCTGCTTGCGATTTTGCTCTTGGGATACGGTAAGGACCAGAATGCTTCTGTGCCTAACCTCGAGAGTCCCAAAACCAAAGCTGCAACACAGGAAACCCTTCAACTAGGGATTATGGCTTTGTAGGGTGTGTGTATATATATATGTATGGTTTAAGGAGACTATATCTATGAAGAATCGAAAGGAAAGAGGATGCAAAATTAAATGGAAAGGCTAGGTCCCTTTGAAGGGGTACATAAGGATTTTATAGGCTTTAGGGCGAGAGCGCCGCCTTCTCCTCCAGCAAGACATCCATCTGGCCTCTGGTGGATTTCAGCTTTTTGTTTGGGATCGGCACTTACGGATCAAGGTTAGGGGTATACAGAATGCATGGCATTGCCGCGTTGGGCTCAGGTTTAGGGGAAACAGGGTTTGTGAGCTTGTTGGTGTGTCAAGGTTTCCCTTGCTACCAAAAGCCCTCCTGGGTCCTGCTAGAGATCGGGTCTCACCACAACACGGTCTTCATGTCCCGCCAAAAGCCCAGCCCTTCCAACAAGCGGTCATGAGCAACCAAGTCAAAGCGCCGCCCCTCCCAACTCCAAACCCTGAACCAGAAAACCCAGCGAATTCAACAACCACGCGTGCCGCGCCACACGGTTTGGAAATCTAGCATGAAGTTTAGGGATTGCATGTCACGGGGTAGAATCTGCTTTCATGCTGTGCAATCCATCTCTCGCCGTCACCGCGGTAGTCTTTGCACAAGAAACCCTGCATGTTTGACTGAGCCGAGAGTCATGGAACGCTAGACAAGGCCCTGAATCTGAAAAAGCATAGGAGCCGCGTGGATCCAGTCATCTTAGCCCTTCTAAAGGCAAATGCTCCCCCGGAGACGTTGATAACTACACCTCAACGCCCACACCCCAAGTCAAAACTCCAAACCCAAGCCAGCAAGAAACTGCAACAGCGGGTGTACGTAATGCGGGCGAGCAATAGGACACTCGAAGCAGCTCTCAAACTTGCGAATCATCGAACTCCTGAGCCTAAGCCTGAGGTCTTCATGAGCTGCCGAGACACCATATCGAGCTAGGAAATATTCCTCCATAGCCACAGAAAACCTGAAGCCAGAAAGAGTTGGGAAGCCCCTATCAGGTTGCGCAGAAGGGGCCCCACAGAATTGTAGAATGGCGCAACAGGGTTCCACAAGGTATAAGGTATTGTAGAAGGCATGAGAGCAATGGCTGCGACCTTTGTTTGGCCCGACCCTTAGCTGCCGGCTGTTCCCTTGTATGCGTCCGAAACATAATTCAGCCATGCTACTGTAGAAGCCATTGCTAGGCGGGTATATTTCGCGTAATCCGTGCTAGCTACTATCAGAGGCTATAGGCTCTAACCGATTGTTCCTTGACTGCATTAGGGTCCATTCCGCAATCTCTAAACTATGACAGACCGCTGAGTCGCCCATGGCGGGTCACCTTGAAAATCCGCAACTTGATAGAACAGGACAGCTCAGGAGCCCTTAATCAAGGACACCTTCAAAATCTGGCAAGGGATTCCTACGCGAATCTCAGACGTGTTGCTTAGTTGATTTAGGGGTAGGTGGCTCTCTTTCAAGCAACTAAAGCTCTAAACCCTAAACTCCGTCTCGGCTCATCATTCCGGCGAAGCAAGGTGTGATTCTCCTCTCCCAGAACCATCTATAAGAATCATATAGTCTTTTGTATTTTATAGGAGCTATAATGCAGAAAACTGGATCCCGACTCGGTTTGCAAAAGCTAGCGTGCGGAACCCAAAAGGAAGTCCTCCTGATCTAGCTGAACACATCTTTGAACGAAATGGGACTCCTTTTCTTTTTTGCAGACCCACAAGTCTAGAGAGGCGTTCACATGCACTGCAGGGCGCAATTGCAAGCCTCGCGCTGGCAAGGTAATTTAACACCAACCCCGTGAAGTTGTCATGGCCTCCCAGTAGGCTCTCGTTCCGCTGCCTCTGGGCTTAGGCTGCAGAGATTTTTGTGGCCGAAACGGTTTGAGGTTCCCTCGCATGCATAGTGCTGGGTTTTCCACTAAACGCTTTTGGAGGAATCCCTATCTGATAGAGATCTATGACAGTCTCAAGGAGCTTGAAAATTTGGACTGCCTTTTAATTAGCTCAGTGACAGGTCCTGGCAGAGGGGATCTTGCTGGGTCACTTTCACGTGGAAACGGTCAATCAAACCGATTGTTCGTGACAGGCCCCTTCAGCCCCAGCCCCTACTGTGTTTAAACTTTAAACTTCGAGTCTTCAGAGAGGGTTACACTCTCGCAAAACAACATGGACCCAAAAAAGGACCTACAAGCTATAAAGACTGGTGTCGATTCAAAGAAGAAACCAAAAGAGTTTGCACGGTTGTACGTCATCTGGCGGAAGGGTACTTGGAGGGCCAGGAGACTTAGTAAGTGTATTGATAAGCCCTATAATCCGTATAATCATCCGGTGATCCCATTATTAGCCCAATTACAATGTGCCCCTGACCGTTCAAAAAAGGCTTCAGGCGTCAGAGGGGTGATGCCGCTGGCTTAGACTCGGGACTGAAACAGCCCATTACAACGTATTGTGGGCGCCAGACCCCACCTTGCAGTAGGGCTTACGTAAATAACAGTAAATGAGCCCTAGACAGCAAATCTATCAAACTTCGGGCCCCCTAGCGCTTGGTGCCCATCACAAGTACATCATAAGTAAACAAGAGAAGGCTTTCCCGCAGGCAGGGACCCATAATTCTTGAGACCCCCCCCCCCGTGACAATATGTTGGCAAGGGGGTGGTTCAATGGAGGGTAGGTAACCTCGTAATCCCCAATACTCCCTGCTTCTCCTTAAGACTGTTCGAGGTTCCCTCACCTTGAGTAGGTACCTCCTGATTGAACCACAGCCGAAGGCTTCGCATCCGCCTTTCCACGCCCCAGACCCCAGCTATGCCCTTCCAAACCCTAGAACCAAAAGCCCAAAGACCTGAAGACCTGAACCAATGATGCAAGTCCTCAGTAGCTGCTAACCCTGAAACCCTTTGGAAGCAACTCAGTGGCCCAAGGGCCTCCAAAAGCAAGGCTCCCGGTGACATCCGCCGGTAACCTTGCCTGGAGTCATCTTTCCCAGTGGTTTCTCAGTGTTGTTTTGATGAGTGCTTCAAGCTTGCGGCTTGAAGCTTCCAAACCAGCGAGGTTGAGAAATGGCCATTACGATGAGATGCCACCATTTCTTTACTGGCGGGTTTTGCCAGCCATTGTTCCTGTAGTTCGCCACGCCAGGTACGAGGACCGTCTCTGCAACCCCCCAATGCAGAATCATTCATCATGACTGTAATTTTCTGAAGCTCTCCCATCTTTAAACAGCTTTTCTCGAAGGGGTAAATGCGGGCGCCCTACAAGCGATGTTGCGTTCGGTTCCGATAGGGTCAGACTTTTTCGGACCTATATGCGGACTGCAGGGCTTTGAGAGAACCCACCATAATGTGTCACATACATGCCTTGGTAAGAAAGCAATGTGCCGTGAAGTCAGAACCCAGCATTAGGATGTTTCTGTGTACTTGCTATGCCGCAAAGTATACTTGGTAATTGCATTGACAAAAGTACCACTTGCAGATGCTGGTGCAAGTTGCACTCTGTACCGAAGATGCGGCATCCCGCTTCATGCTAGAGCATTCTGCGGCTGGCAGGGCTTGGTACACAAAGACGAGAGGGGCCCGCCCAGGCCAGCTGCATTAATCTCTTCTTCTAATCCCTGGACGACTTATCACGATATCACCAATTTGCTCATCCAAGCTTCTGGAAAGCCATCACAAAGCGACGCAAAGCTGGGGCACCTCGAGTTGCAGTCGATTGCAGCTGCCAAGCATGGTGGTGGTGGTGGTGGTGGTGGTGGTG